CACACCCCTTAAAGACCTCTTAAGAATGGGATGAGGTCCACAGTAGACAGTCTAAGTTTTGGGGGTTGGGGAAGAAACCACAGAGTTAAATAGTGCATTCCAGGCATTGACAACTCTGTTACTGAAGCTGTATTTTCTGCAATCAAGTTTGGAGCGGTTTATCATAAGTTTGTATCTACTGTGAGCTTGTGTGCTGTTGTGGTTGAAACTGAAGTATTCATTGACAGGTAGGACACTGTAGCAGATAATTTTATGTACTACACTTAGTTCAGATCGAAGATGGCGAAGTTCTAAATTATCTAAGCCCAAAATTTCAAGTCTAGTGGTATAAAGTATTCTGTTGCGACGTGAAATATCTCTAGACCCATTCGATTGTATTTATATCTGATATGAAATGCAGGTTCCAGACAGATGAGCTGTATTCAAGAATTGGTCTAGCAAAAGTTTTGTATGCCCTAGTTTGCAATTCAATATTTCTGGAGAAGAAGCGTCACAAGATTAGGTTGACAACTCTTATCTTTTCCCCTCTTATTAATTCTGCATTTTGTATTTATCTTCTGGTCCCTTGATCTTTTTTCCATTTATTACTTTCCTATTTTTTACCTCTTTCCTATAGCCATTTGTACCATAAATTCCATACTGTGTAGTACTCTGATTCCTTTTTGACTTTTAGCTCTTTTGTGAGCCTGTCCATTTTGACGCATTCCAGTATTTTTTTAATCACGTTTTCTTCTGTTGGCGTGTGTTTATTTTTCTAGTTCTGTGCGTTTGTGATTCTTGCTGCCAGGATTACATGTAGTATCAGATATTTAATTTTTTTTCATAATTTCCCTTGATTATTCCTAATAAGAACAGTTCCGGTTTTAGATCTATTAGGTGTGTAATAATCTCTTCGAGCCAGACTTTTTATTTTTCTCCAGTATTTTTTTGGAGATGGACACGTCCACCACATATGATAAAATGTTCTGTGTGCTTGGTTTCATTTCTAGCATGCTGGTGAACATTCTGGAAAAATTCGTCCTATTCTTGTGGGTGGTAGGTGTCATTCTGTAGAACATTTTGTATAAATTCTCCCTGTATGCGATTGCCATTGTTAATTTGTAATTTGTTTCCCAGAGATTTTCCTATTCTGCTAATTCTATAGTAAATCTGAAATTTGTAGCCCATATTATCATAGTCTCTTTCACTACTTCTTCTTCCATATTAAATCTTAATAAGTAGTGATATATTTTTTTAATCAATTTGTCTTCCGTTCCCTGTAAAATTTTATCTAATTCTTGTGGTTCTTTGTAGAATCCATCTGTTTCTCGGTCTATTTTGTACCTAGCCTGTATTTGTAAGCGTGACCCGACAAATGCGTGCATGACAAAAGCACGCCGATGAAAGCACGGCGGCAAAACCACAACATCATAAATGCGCCCACAACAACACGCCGACAAAACTGCGCCCACAAAAGCATGATTTAAGTTAAGGTTAGGGTTAGGTTCAGGGTTAGGGTTAGGGTTAGGGTTATTAGGTTGTTATTAGTTTGTTGAAGGCGCGCTTTTGTCGGCGCACTTCTGCGCTCATTCGTTGGCGCGATTTCAACCTCGCGATTTTCTTGCCGCAGTTTCATCGTCACGCTTTTGTCGCATTTGTCGGTGAACCATTTGTAAGTATGGCCACCAGTCTACAGGTGAAACTTGAAAAATTAGAATATTGTGCAAAAGTTCATTTATTTCAGTCATGCAACTTAAAAGGTGAAACTAATATATGAGATAAGACTCATTACATGTAAAGCAAGATAGTTCACGCTGTGATTTGTCATAATTGTGATGATTATGGCGTATAGCTCATGAAAACCCCAAATCCACCATCTCACAATAATCCCACAGTCATTGAACCAGGTTTTGGTGCTTTTGGCAGTGTGGGCAGCTGGACAATGAAGTCAGCATCCCCATAAAGCTCGTCTGTTGAAGGAAGCAAGAAGTGCACTAAAATCTCCTGGTAGTCGGCTGTGTTGACCCCGATCTTTATGAAGTTCTGTGGTCCAAAGTCCTGTTGTTCAGTGGTCCAAAGTCCTG